CTGCTTGCTAAATACTCTCTCTCTCTCTCTCTCTTTTCGTTGGATTATTATAAGGCATTATCTTGATTGCTGCTTGCTAAATACTGTTAGGGAGTGAATAGAGCTCTTGTGCTGGCAATAAGAAGAGAGTATATATATATATATATATATATATATATAGAGAGAGAGAGAGAGAGAAGAACAAGAACAAGAAGTAGAAAAGGGTATTAGGTATGTGTTATCATGTGAGGGATTTGGTACATTGTGACATTTTCTCATAGGGTGTGGCAATGGATGCATGCAGAGGCCAAGGGAATTGTTATAAAGTACAAGATATATGCGCACACATGCATATTTGTGTGTGTGTGTGTGTGTGTGTGTGTGAGAGAGAGAGAGATGCAATTTGTCATGTTATCTTATGTCTTCTGTTTTGAACTTCCAAATTGCTTATTTGGTCCTTTTAGTGATGGCAAGATGTCATACTCTTTTGTAGGGAATGGGTACATTAACCCTTTCTGCCTCAGTTTCTGTCTTCAAGCCTCCATCTTGTGCTGGAAGCATTTGCCCCTCAGCAAGTCCTGCTCAGTATGTTTTGTTCTTCTTTGGCCTCTATCTAATTGCACTAGGGACTGGAGGCATTAAGCCATGCGTGTCTTCGTTTGGAGCCGATCAATTTGATGATACCAGCCCAACAGAGAGTGTGAAAAAGGGTTCCTTCTTTAATTGGTTCTATTTCTCTATCAACATTGGAGCTCTTGTTTCAAGTAGCCTTATTGTTTGGATCCAAGACAATGCAGGTTGGGGCTTAGGGTTCGGAATTCCTACATTATTCATGGGCCTTGCTATTGGAAGCTTTTTTTCAGGCACGGTGTTATATAGGTTTCAAAAGCCAGGAGGAAGCCCCCTAACTAGAATGTGTCAAGTTATAGTTGCATCTATTCGTAAGTTGAATGTCAAGGTCCCAGATGATAGTTCTCTCCTGTTTGAAGTATCAGACAAGAACTCCGCGATCCAAGGGAGTCGGAAATTGGAGCATACTGATGAATTCAAGTATCCTACTTTTTCCTCTCACTTATTTTAACTTCACTGTTTATATTTGATGCTTAGTATAATCCAATTGATGGTGGAGTGATATTGTAGTTGGTTGGGATCATGACTGTCTGATGGGATGGTGGATAGCGATAGAGTGGATCCACCATTAGGGTCATATCTTGTTTTAGTGGGTCTCTCTCTTGCGCGCGTGCTTTCTCATTCATTATTTCTTGGATGGTGGATGGTGATGGCCCCAACAGCCTGTCGTTTTAACATTCGTTTTAACATTCGTTTTAACATTAATAGGTTATAGCATAAGCTACCATTTCGAATATAGAGACTTTCTGATGGCATTTTCAGAAAGGAAGACAATATTTGTCACCATCTTAAGAATTTGATCATGAATCAACAGTCAATCTCACTCACTTCATTAATTGGTTTAGTGTCCTCTCGTTCCTTCAGGTGCCTTGATAAAGCTGCCACAATATCTGATCTTGATGCTAAAACTGGTAATTTCTCTAATCCATGGAAGCTCTGCACGGTCACCCAAGTTGAGGAATTGAAGATATTGGTTCGAATGTTTCCAATTTGGGCAACCGGTATCGTCTTCTCTGCTGTTTATGCCCAGATTTCTACCATGTTTGTTGAACAAGGAATGACTTTAGATACAAGTCTCGGGTCCTTCACCATTCCTCCTGCTTCTCTCTCTGTCTTTGATGTGATCAGTGTCATTGTTTGGGTGCCAATCTATGATCAAGTATTGGTTCCAATTGCTAGGCGATTTACAGGCAAAGCAAGAGGTTTCTCTGAGCTCCAACGAATGGGTATCGGCTTATTTATATCAATATTAGCCATGGCAGCAGCTGCAGTGGTTGAAATCCGACGTTTAGAGATCGCTAGAGCCAATGATCTAGTGTTTGACACGTCAACACCTGTCCCCATGAGCATTTGTTGGCAAATTCCTCAGTATTTCTTGGTTGGGGCAGCTGAGGTGTTCACCTTTATTGGGCAATTGGAGTTCTTCTATGACCAGTCACCTGATGCGATGAGGAGCTTGTGCAGTGCCTTATCTCTCCTCACCACTGCCTTGGGTAATTATTTGAGTTCTTTCATTTTAACCATTGTTACAGTCCTTACCACGAAAGGGGGGAGCCCTGGTTGGATACCCGACAATTTGAACGAAGGTCATCTTGACTATTTCTTCTGGTTATTGGCTGGACTTAGCTTCCTGAACCTAGTGATCTATGTTACTTGTGCTGGGCGATACAAGTGCAAGAGGGCCACATAACTATTCTCGGTTGTGAAGGTCATTGGGGTTCACGTGGTTTTCCTTTGGGGAGCACAGAGAGAGCATCTCCTTGTATATATATACTGTTCAATTATTTAGTGAGTTTTCTAGAAACTCAAGGTATGGTGCCTGATTTCATAGACCAAAATTGGTTTCACATGCCTTTCGAGGCCATTTATTATATCAACTAAAGAAACTCCTGTATCAACCATGATTCTCTTTATGTTTACGAGTCTTCATTTTCTTTTTGTGATTTTGATTCATCTCTATCATGTTGAAAATACACTGATGAAAGAGAGAGAGAGAGAGAGAGAGGAAACTATACTGTTTCCCTCTTTTCATCTTACGAATTTTGCATGCCTGCCTGGGTTTTGCTTATTTTGTATGTGAATGTGATAGCTCTTGATTTTGATTACACTGTCTTCGTATTCTGTGGTAGTTTTCATAGATTTTTGACATGAATCCTTAAAGATATCGTATTTTAATTATTTGCAATTATAGGAAAACTATTATAGATCAAGTTCTTGCTGTTAGCCTGCATTAGCAGGTGGGTTTTATGTTTTTGCCTTTATGGCTGCTTCTGATTTTAGTTTTCATTACTAACAATCTACATTCCATTTGGACGAAGTCTTCCATGGTCCATATGATCTGGGTAACAGTTTGGTCATAGTGGTTATCACTAATCCGTAGGTGGTTGGTGTAGAGAATAAAAACCAAGGTTTGGGAAAAAAAAAGAGAAAAGGAAAATAATGAAGAAAATTAAAGAAGTGAGACAAATATTTACATAGTTTTCTCTCTGAGTCCATCCCAACAGGTGAGTTTTCTATTTTCACCTAAGCTGGTATACTCTCCACAGGATTTATAAATGACCTAAAATCTCTCTCTCTACACTCACATGCATCTGTGTGCATATGTATGCATATGCCTTTATTTTAATTGATAAAATATTAATTTATATAAAATTAAATTATATCTAAATTTACACAAAGAAAATATTATTTTAATGAGAGAATGAAATCAATATAGTTAAGTATATGCTATTAGTAAGATGACAAATAAAATTTTTGGTGGAAGCCTTACTGCTACTAGAAGATTGTGACTTGTCATCAACTCATCATATGAGGGTTGGATGTCATTGGATGGTTTAAGAGTTTTGTTACGAAGTCTTTGTGATCAAATTATTTCGTGAATCTTATGGTTTTAACGCATAATACTTTTTATTTTTAACTTTAGGCTTACATTTTGATTTGATCATCTAACGTCATGGATAGATAATTGAAAACATGCATGATTCAATGTATTCTCCTTGATTAAAAATAATTATGAATTAAAATATAATTTATCAAATTGCACCTCAAAGTTAATTTTAAAATATTATTTTGAATAAATACATTTTTGTTTTTAAAAATGGTCTTAAAAAGTTTAATGAAAATGGTTTGATAGGGCTGCATCCCTATCAAAATAAGTAAAGCCTCACTTTTATAACTCATCAAAAATTGCAATGCAAGTGTTGAAAAACCTTTAAATCGACCATCTCATCTTTGAACATTATGGTTGTAAAAAAATATTAAGATTTCAAGTTCTAAAAATAGTTTATATTGCAATAAATATCTAGACCATCCATTTCACCGCAAAAACAAGTGTTCAAAAATAGTGTATATTGTAACAAATATTAAGATCTATACCATTTTTGTAGTTTCAAATTTTATTTTTTGTGTTAGAAATTAATTTTATAGCCAACATGAAGATTTTTTATGCCCAAAGTGCTTTCCGGATGAGGATTTGAGGTGAAGCTTTATTTTGTTTTCATAAATCCTAGGCCCTATAGAAACTTCATCCTTCAAATAAATTTATAATTTGAGCTCTATTTGTTAGTTAAGGTGGAATATTAATTTTTCCTAATAAGAAATTATAAATTTATTGCTGCTCACATTTTGTGTAAAGATTTTGTATTTTCAAAGCTATCATTGATCAAATTAATTTAATAAATTGTTTACACCTATTGTTTCAAATTATAATTATGAACTTTTCAAAATATAAATTTTAAATATCGTTATAATATGAATTACAAATAAAATTTAAAATTATTTATTTATTAAATAACTTGCTATTACAGGAAACTATAAAATTACTGAAACATTTTATTATTCTAAAAAATGGATCTCATGATCTTTTAACCTAAAAATATTCATAAAATTAAAAAATAATAATCATTAAATGTTTAAGTCTTTTTTGTCCTTCCGTGTCCCTAGCGTTATGTGGTGAATGAGAGAAATGCCAAAAGTTCGCTCTATGGCATGCTCCCTTATGATCATAGTGTCCTTAGTGATTAAAAGTAAACATAAATCAAACGCAAATTTATGAAATCATACCTCAAAGTCATTTTTTAGCAATGTTATATTCAATAAATAAGTTTTCATAACTAAAAGTGGTGTTAGAAAGTTCAATAGTAATTTTATAATTTAAACAATTTGTAAATTTGAGCATCATTTTTTACTCAAGGTGGAATTATAGTTTTTAATAAGAAACTATAAATGTCAATGTGTCTCACCTTTCGAGTAAAAAATTGGATTTTTCAAGGTTATAGTTAATTGAAAACTAATTTTAGAAATTAGTTATACTAATTTGAAATAAAAATGTTAATGTATACTTTGTTAAAATTCTACTTTAACTATGATTATAATGTGAATCACAAATAGTTGTTAATTTCAAAAGAGAAAATTTTTGTAATTCTATTTTTAAGATTATTATATAATTGAAATTGTTAATTAAGATTCAAATAGGGTAATTTTGGTCACTCACTATTTTAAGTGTGGGTGTGTCTTGTATAAGATTGCAACAATCCAATTAAGTCGCATCTCTAAATGTTATCATAACATATAATTTTGGTGTACAAAATTCTTAGGATTATCCAAAAATCTATTTTGACATCTAATTATAAAATTTTAAAATATAAAAATGGTTAAAATCAAGTAGATCTATAAACATATGAAAGTCTTGAAAATGGACGGCCTAGATAATGCATTATTTCTAGGACTAAAAATATTTTTGTTTTTCGTATTCATACATCTCGAGGTCAAGATGATCAATTAGAGGATTTTTCAGCATTAGAATAATTTTTTCTGATGCATTTTTTATGTGCATCATTAATTCTACATTTTAAGGTCGCAACCTTATATCAATATTTTCCTTTTAAGTATTGCTTTTTATTACGAGAAAATAGATACAATTATAAGTCGGCTACTAATGCAACACCTAAAGCGCGAGGAAGATTATTAAAACATGAGTGTTGCTAAAGATGGTTTATTATTATACAGCCGTTGTATGATATGATTCCCTCCTTTCTACTCCTTTATGATTATCTATAGTTGCAATTAAATTACTCTATTAAACTACATTATATTTATTGCAAACATATTAAATACTTTGAAATTCTTCTAAAAGTATGCTTATAGAAATTGCTTTAATGTATGATTTTCCATAAGATTACCCTTTATATAAAAATTTTCATCTAAAATAGAGATTGAAATATTTATTAACTATTTGCAATGGATTCGACCAATGATTTGAAACATGCTGGGTCAATACAAAATTGCCTTGTCCGACCCGGGAATTGGTCGTCCATGCCAATTCTACCAATAACTAGGAAATCGTCTGAGTCTAGAAGAGAACCGTTGATTTGTTACAGTAAACGGCGTTTTGCTACAGTAAAAACTCTGATTCAATTTGAACTAATTTTTAACCGATTCGTTGTTTTTGGACGTGTTTTTTCACCAGTTCACTATTTTTACCGGTTTTTGCGATGATCGATTTGGGTCATCGATCCGTTTTTTAAATCACTAGATTCAATATTTCACTGTACTTATTTTCTATATGGTGAAATAAAATTATTTTAATTTATATTTTTTAAAAAAAATTTCCTATATGGTGAAATAAAACTATTTTAATTTATGATTTCTTTTTAAAATCTAACATTTTATATCAAAACCTTACTACTTACAAAATAACTATTAACATATTTATTGAATAGTTCCAATTGATTTATTATACAATATAAACAAGATTTCTATATGGTGCTCTCTTTTAGGAAATCTTAAAATTAGTAAAATAATTTATTTAAAAAGGATCATATAGTCTTTTTGTGAAAAAATCCCTTGCAGGGAAGTGCTAAAGGTTTATTTATGTATGCTCTCGCATGATTATAATATATGATTGCTCCCTCGAGTAAAATACTTTGGATATACATTTTTGTGGAAGTTGATTTCTAATTGGCAGTTCATGATCTTAAAAATACCCATAGTTTTTGCCTGAGGAATAAGTGGGAAGTTTGTTCCCATAGGAGTACAAAATCATAAGTAATACTATTAATTTCAAAAAATAAATCTTAAGCAATACTGACGGGATTTTGTTATCCCACACGCAAGGGAGCGTTATACTTTCACTTTCAAAAAATATCTCAAGTAATAAAAGTAGGATTTTGTCGTCCCACACGTGAGGGAGCACAAAATCATAAGTAATCTTTGGCTTTAAAAAAGAGGGTGGGGTTTGTATAAGGCGGCGGCCTTAAACAATCAAAGTAGGGCACAACTTCAACTACGGTCGAAAGATGTTTCAATACTGGAAATCTTTGTGATGAACTGAAACTTTATTTATCTCTGTAATAATAAATTTTAAAGCTTAAAAAATAATGTAGATCGAGCAGATCTATGAACACTTGAAAATCTTGAAAATTGACGATTCGAAAATGCATTACAAGATGCACTATTTCCATGCGTATTGAAATCGAGATGATCAATTTGAAAATTTTTGGGCATCAAAACACCCTTTTCTAGTGAAATTGTTTTGGATGTATCTTAATTTGATTGTTTAAAGCCTTGCCGTTACATATAACTTTTTCCATACATAAATAGATTTATTCTTCTTTTTTTTTACCAAATAAATAGATTTATTCTTGTGATCAAAATATTGAATCTTATGCTTTCCCAACCCTCTAGCGTGTGCAAGATCCAGCTAAAGACTCTGAACACTTGGTCAATGCCTTGCAGGCTTAATCTATTGTGGCCACTTTGCTTTCAGCAAAATTAAGCATATTCAAATCACTCTCTCTCTCTCTCTGTTCCCCATCACTACCAACACCTAATTCATAAAAGATATCACACCAAAAGAAGACTGAAAGGATTTCATCATGAATTATTCGCAAACATGAATTAACGCTCAAAAAATTTATTTTTAAACATGAATTGTAGCTTTATTCATC